GAAACAATACAGATTTGAAAGAAAAAGACAAAAATTATGAATGAAGAAGACAAAAAAAAAAAATAAATAAATAAAGGTAATAAACTGAACAAGAGAAACAGCGGAATCTGTGAGAAATGATGGAGGCTGAAAGAGGCAAATCAGAACAGGATGCATTTCTAAGTGATACAGAGAGGTCACGAGGAACTCATTTAATTAACCATTGAAGAGGCATTCATTTGAATGGAATAGATTTCATAGCATCAAGATGAGCTGGCAGGATATTATCTAAATAAACCTACGCTCATGTTTCCATTAATGTGCGGCAATAGATGAATTATTAAATTTTGATAATACATATATATCGCGCTTCCTTAATCTCAAGTTTTAAACGTGTCCTTTTTTCCTGAGGAAGAGAACGCACTTTAAACAGTTTCACTGGGCAAAGAAGACATGCTCTAAATGACTACATCGGCGAAACAAGATGTGCTTTAAAATTTAGATAAATGGTACCTGAAAGATTTGTTTGTCACAAAGTATTATACAAATCATCTATTGACTCATACTTAGTGTGTTTTCCACAACTTAGTGTTTTCTTTTCTAAAATCTGTCTTGTTTTCTTTATCTGTTGAGTCTTGAGAGTGGGTGCCCTCTTTTCGAGGGCTCGAAACATGCCGACTTTTTCCTCGTCGGTAATTTTTGAAGCTAATATAAAATTTGCATTATCAAATTTACATTCCGATAAATTTATATTCATTTTGGATTGAATAACGTATTTCGTTGAAATGTAAACATAAAAAGAACTGTTACAAACGTTGAAAATAGTTGTCAACAACAGATGGCTTTATATTGAATTAAGATATTTTATTTTGAATTCCAGAATTCTATGAAGAATACGAATGCAATTCTTTATAAATGCATTTTTTTTCACAATTTGTTAAATGTCTTGTTAGGAAAAAAAAAATTTTAATGTGAATTTCTCCTTTTTTAATTTTAAAAAAAAAATCTTTTTTTCATTAGTAAAAGCATCCCCGCAATAGCCCGTTTTTTGCCATGGGGGTGATGAATGTTTAGTCCCCATAACGTTGTGACCGCCGGCATGATTATGGCAATGACGTAAGCATTGCGCACAGGCCATCTTTACTTGCCTGAGAAACTGGCTCTTTTTCGATATGAAGGTGGAGAGGGGGGGGGCTTTTAACTGCCACTGGGAATTGAATCCGATTCTTCACTATCAGAATTCAGTGCCTTAACCAGTGTGCCATCACGGCCGTTTTTTCATTTTAATTTTACTTAAATAACTTCATACGAATAACCATAATGTTAAATACTGGATTGTTACACACACACACACACACACACANATATATATATATACATATACATCCATTAATATTTATTTATAATGGTAGTTACGAGAGTAATTGCAATATCTTATGACGATGAGTTACGAATCTAATATAGCTAAATGTTCGAGTATTTTATTATTTCGAGTTAAAACACTCCATGAACTGAATAAGTTTAGATGTAAGTTTTTCCGAAAGTGACAAATTTGACTGAATAGTTAGCAAAAAACATTATTAACAAAAAATATTTATGCTGAATTTATTTATTATTTAATATTTTATTTTTAAATGGGTATAAATATTTCTTAATAACCCTTTATGAAATAAATATCTTATTTACTTTACGTTTAGTTCCATTGTAATTTTGGTTTTATAAATTTGTGATTAATTAATAAATATGAGAAACAACGGCAAAACAATTCTTAGTGTCTTTAACTTTTACGTTAGAAGGGAGTTTTGTCAAAATTCCGTTCTTTCAATTTACATTCAAAAGTGATGCAAACTTACTGTGTTGCTATTTATAAAAAGCTTTAACTTAAAATCTTACCTATATATTATTGTTTTTAAAATGTAGATTAAATGTCACTCTAAATTAAACTAGTTTTATTATTAAAATTTAAGTTATGTTCACAGATTTGCCAGTTTAAACAAAACTTATCGCAAGGTAAATAACGGAAACTAATTCCTAATAACACTTTTGTGTCAATTTTTCATATTAGTATTACTGCCGTATTTATTATTTTAACAGTTTTTAATTGATTTTTCACTCTTTAACTATTTTTTTCCAACATAAAACTATGAGAATATAAAACTATGTTCTGTTGAGAGATGCGACGTAAGTTTGGTAGACATATTTTATTTTAAAATCTCTCTCCTCGCTTAGCACGCAATTATAGAACTTTTTTACAATAAAAAACAATTTTAATACTTATTTTTAGTTTATTATTTAATTAAGTTAATGATTAATCAATTTAATTATTTAATTAAGTTGCTTATTTAATTAAATATGAAAGCACTTTTGAATCCCTAAATTGAATTTTATGGTAAAGCGGCGTGCAAAAGTCTTCGGCCAGTTTGTTTTTATTGATTTTGGTTTTTTACACACGCGACTCTTAAATGTTAAAAATCTTAATGTTAAAATGCTTAAATCTTTTAAAAGAGTCATTAAACTAAAACTGCTATATTGAAATCATAAGGTTATTGAAAAATAATATTTCATGTTGCTCTTCATCAGAAAAAATATTTTTTAAGAGACCATGAATTATTATAAAATTAAACATAAATATATATAAAAAATGAAATATAAATGCATAAAAATGAATCTCTTTTTTACTTTTGAAGATTTATGTGTAGTTTCAGACTATTATTTGAAATAAATAATCAAGACAGGGGTCTTTTATATAAATTTTATCTATATTTACTTTTTATCTATATTTACTATTTGAAATAAATAATCAAGACAGGGGTCTTTTGTATAAATTTTATCTATATTTACTTTTTGATTACTTGCTAATTTGAGTTTTAGCATTTAATTGAAATAAAAGACATTTCTCAATTTCTTTGAAGATTTTTGGATTACGCAATTCATTTAGATATGTAACATTCATCTAAAATATTTATAGCATAAAATAAAGCATATAAATATAATTTGGCAGTGTCTTGTATGTTTGAGCTTTTTTGAAGTAATCATGCAAACGAGTGTACAAAACAGCAATACAAATTTATTAATTTTAATCTTTCATAATTGAGCTCAAATTATTCACTTATCAGAATAAAAATATTGCTTCCGTTTCATTTAATAGGGCTTAATACATATAAGCACGACAATCTTTGTATTATCTTGCATCGTTTTGTATATAAGGGTTATAAGAGCACACGCACATTAAAAAAACTTGTCCACGAAAAGACAGAGAGGGGTTCAGGAAAAGAGCTCCAACTCATTGTGATTTGTGCTGAAACACACGCTGCGCTTTTGTTATTAAAGATATTATTTTGGCCAACTAGTAAAAAAGTGTAGCCTTCTTGTAAAATATATATGGGCATAAAAAAAATACAGCTTAATGTTAGCGTGATCGTTAAGTCTGCAGGTGCAGTCTGTGTTTTTCTGTTTCCATGGAAACTAACTGAGTTGCTAGATTATGCAGCTTTAAAAGTCACAGAACATCTCTGAGACAAGTTCTTCAATCTGATGTATCGGAATTTAGTTTAATGCCATTTAAACACTTCTTCGTGATAGCAATGTTAAGTAATAAAATAAACAAATCGAAAAGCATTGTTGTGTTGCTAAAAGGATTAGAGCCTGATAATTAACATTAAAGTGTGTCAATAAATAAACACTTGCGTTTCTTTTAAAAAAATTATTCCGATGATTTTTTTGTCTAAAAAAAAGCTTCTTCACATTGGAATATTTTACTGGATAATAAATAAATATTTCATTTTCCTTTTTGAATTAAATATTCTGAAATTATTTTTATTTTTAGCAGCACATTATGGAACTTGTTTATTAAATATGAAGTATTGTTGACATTTTTTTTTAATATCTGGATAATAATCAACGTTTAAAACTATTAAAACTGCTTAATTTTGGAAATTAATTAGAGCTGGCATAAAAGGTAAAAATCATGCGTTTTCCCTTTCTTAATAAGAAATATTTAAATTTAAAAATATCAAAGATGCTGTAGGAAAAAAAAGCTTTGGATAATTTATCAGCGCAAAATAGACATTCTAGATTTTTGTAACCATCTATTTTAGCGAACGATTTAATTAAAATCTGAAATAGGAAATGATGTATGATGTAATAAATAGATTATTTTTCTTAAAAACAAATGGACGGGGGTTAAAAATTTGAAAAAGAATAATGATTTTTCTAAGTATTGTTTATAAAATATGAACATAATGGGTGATTCTTTGAAAACATGACAATTCGGACCAAAAAAGTCTTCAAAATAATCGAAATTTTTTTTAATACTAATTTAGTTACATTTATTAATATCTTTCAGACAGCAGTATAGTTTATTGACATTTGCTCAAGGAAAAAAATGAAATAGAAATTCACTAACTCTTGAATGCCAGGAAAATGACATATTAGCTTAGAAGTTTAAAAAACAGTCACTCTAAACTAATAGTAAGTAACTCAACTTAAGCCTTTATGTTAGATGAACCATAAATTGCTTAAATAATTTTTCTTTTTATCCATTGTAGAAAGAATCAAAAAATTTTTTGTTGCTGATATGTACAGAATAAAATTGTGTAAAATAATCAATCATTAAATAAATAAATAACTTTGATTACATTCAAGCATATTACAATCATACATAAACTTGGTATTTGGTTAATATTTGCTTTCCCTCTTAACAGTATACTGTTTAAAAAAATTTCTGGTAACACTTCAATGTCCTGGCATTCATAAGTCAGGAAAATGATAGCCGGGATAATGACAAATTTGCCATTTTATAGCATTTAACTTTACTTTAATTTAACATTTTGGCCTCAGACGTTTACATTCCGCAGAAAACCACTGGATTTCTTGAAATAACTGAGATAAATATGTGTAGTTTATGTTATTAATGTACGCTGATATAAATAAACGCTGATATAAATAAACATGGTCTATATATTTTGACAACTTCTATGAAAATGTTTTCTTAAAATACTGAACCATTTCAAATTAATTACCATATCAGTTTCAGATATTGAACCAAAGCTCCGGATTTCTATATCAGTGTCGATTACTGTAGGAGAGCCTAAAAAATATTATAATTTCAATATTTTAAAATAATTTACATCAAAGAACACTGCATATACTAATTAAATGCCAAGAAAAGTGTAACAATTGCAAACTTTTTCACATGAGTTTGTATAGTCATCCACCATTGTGTCCTCTTAGAGAAATGAAAATGCAGCTTCTTTAATGACGTAGCTTCTTTAGTGACGAATTTTTAAGGACAATGGGGGGGGGGCATATTTCAAATTTAAACTTTTATTTAGACATAGTCTCTCATCTTTTTTTTACTGTCCTATTAGAAATTTCTCAAAAAAAGAATAAATAACAATTTCTTTCATAGTTATTTCACAATATTCAAACAAAACAGTCAAATAACCCTAAATAAGTTAGTATTCAAATAACTCTGAGAAAAATCATTTATTAACTACCTTCACATGTTTCAGTTAAAAAACCAGAATCTTATCCCATAAAATAGGCCAAACTAATGAAGTTACTTAGTTCCTTTCCTCTGGGTACATTTTATAGCCGCGGGAGCTAATCTATCAATCTCATGACGGAAAGAATGGGGATTCGATTCCCAGCATAGATTCCAGAATATTCCCTTCGACACATCAAGACTTTTCAGTGTCCCCAATTTATGACTCTAGATTATTAGAATATGATTATTTTATTCACGCATAGATGGCAGAACGATAAAGCTGCTTAGCACAAAAAAGTCTAGTATTTCCCATCGCTTCCGATGTGTAAACAACCAGAAAAATAAGTTAAACCACATTACAAGGTTCATTTAAAGCACAACTCTTCTTACAAAACTTTAAGGTGTTTTTGTGGCTTATTTGAGGTTGTCTTGAGACGTTAAGGTTTATTTAAGACGTTAACGTTAAGACGTTAAGGTTTATTATTATCTGAAGTTGACTTCAAAAATAACCTTAAAAATAAACCTCCCAAGGTGTATAATCAATGTGCATGAAGTTGTTTTATTCACATTTGAGGTTGATAGAAATCTCTCTTAGAGCAACCAACTTAGTCAAGTTGTTTCTGAGGATTACGTGTTGTTTTTTCTACACTTCAAGCAAATAAGTATTCTTGAGGTGTGAATAATTTCACGCAATCTCAACTAAAAGAATTGCTTATTATGAGGCTGATTTAATTATGTGTAAATAGGATTGATATTGAGGTTTATTGGTGAGTTCATTTTTGGTGTAAAACACAACCTCATTTTCTGCCTCAGTTGTGTTTTTTGCGCATGTCAACCACAAAACATCTTAAATTTTTGTAAAGGGTCAACCACAACCTTTAACTCACATTTCCTAAAATAAAGCCTAGCTCTAATGTCCAGTTAATTTTCGTTTATGCGGTTTTGAAGTTATGCTAGTTAGTTGAAAAATGGTTAAAATTCTGTATAATTTTGTTAACCATATTAGCTGCAAACGGTTTGAAAGCCAACAAGATAAAAAAATTTCTTTACCTTACAGTTACTTCAGAATGAAAATTCTAACAGTGTAATAGGGTCGTTATGCAGCATTCTTGGAGTCCAGAGTAAAAATTTTTTTAGGTTTGAATTGATTCTAGCCTCTTGTGTTTTCGTTCTTTTTCGTACGTGTATGAACTGATTATTATTCTTTTCTTACGATTTTTAAGCGAAGTATTAAATGCAAGTTCCCTCTTCTATGCATAATCGATTAAACTTTATCTAAAAATATCACGATTTCTTAAGTATCATACACAATCATTTCTCATTGAAAACTTTAAAAGTTGCAGCATCTTTCCATAAAAAGCTGAAAGCGACTAAAGTAGAAATTTCATTTAAGGAATCTCTAATGTTCCATATTTTTTTCTTTCTTTTCCTTCGTACACACAGTCTTAAATGCATAATACCATCTGTTCGTAATGGTTATGTGAGGCTCATCTGTGGGTTGATAGACGGCGATTTCTCCTACGTTCAAACTTTCTTGCTTTGAATTCATTAACTCGACTGCAGTTTCTGTTTAAAAGTGTGATTTTCAGTTTATGTTGTGAAAATTTGGAATTAATTATGCGCGTATTTTAAAACTGAATTTAATGCCGGGGAAATAGTCAAAAAATAGTTTTGGAAATAATTTCGTTTGTAGCTGTGATTTTAACTAGCTCGGGAACAATCCCAAGTTTTAAAAATGTAATAAATAAAATAAATAATTCTAAATTCACTTAATCATTTGACAAATTAAAGTGGGATATTTTTTAAAAAAAATATAGCTCCTGAAAAATCAATGAAATAGTATAATTAACGAAATTTGTTTATAATAAAGAAAATTAATTTATACGTATTAAAAATTATTTTTAAAAGAAAAATATTATTTTTGTATTTATAAAGTTTAAACATTATTTCTATTACTGCTTCCATACATTAACAGTAATTCACACGTACTAATATAATTATCATTTATAGTTCATTATATACTGCATTAATTACTATTTTTGAGACTATTCAAAGTCGCCACTTTCACATCTCATTAGATGAAGCTTGAAGTGAATACTTCAGATTTAATTTTACTTAAAAAGAATTATTTTTTGCAGTATAAAGTTTGCTTATTCAGTTTAAAATTTCTTTTAGGGAAACAGAGGCAATTTAATTGATATTGTTAATTGTAAATTAAGTAAAGTTTTAACATTTTAGAAGCTACTTATCGTAATTAATTTCATGCTCAAAAAGTCTTATTCTGAAAAATTGAGCGAGCAGCTTTTATTCGACAAAAATAAGCTAAGTAATTATTTCTCTCATCTAAGTCTCATCTTCTTTCTCTAAGTAATTATTTCTCCATAGCTATTGCTTAGAAATTTCGAAACTACATCTCACTTTCTAGCGATGCTCAACGCTTCATGAACTATATCAATGACTACCTTGAATTAAAGCCTTAATGTTATAATATGCATCATGCTTATTATATGTTTAGATTTATATGTTAATACTGTATAACTATTAAAACNTATATATATATACATACAAAAATGGTATCATAAAGTAAAATAAATAAAATTAAACAAACAAAATATTTTTTATGGGAAAAAATAAACATTCTCTTCAAGACACATTTCTTTACATAGTAATATTTCAAAATAAAGAATAATGATCCGAAGATAAAAATTTTTCGTGATATATTTCTTAATTTATGGACTTTTTTTCATCAATTCCTGTAAAATTGGTCTTTGTAATCTATTTATATCTTACTTGAGCAGTATGTAAAATGTTAGTTACATTAATTTAGAGTAAACAGGCAAACTGAATTTCTACATTAAAAATGCAATTATATAAATTAGAAATTATGGATTAGGGATTTAATTCAGATAGAATTCACGTTTTGGTATATTTTCTTCACATATAAAATCTGTTAAATACTTTTTTTTTCCAAAATTTATTACATTATGTTAGAGCAACCTTGATGCTAAAAAAAATCAGCAAATCTAAGTAACCATGGAATAAACTAAGTAAACTAAAATTTAAAAAAAATAATAATAGTATAAAAAATATATAACCTCTAAAACCTGAAATAAGATGACTTGTTTATAATTAGCATATTAATATTACTCTGTCGTGTTTTTGCATGTAACTACAGTGTTTTAGGAACAGTTTTTTTTAAATAATTCTAATAGTCATTAATAGTGCTCAAATAAGTATCATTAATAGTGCTTCAAATAAGTGCTTCAAATTAGTTTTGCCTTTAATTTATACCAATTATTATTCTTTTTAATTTAAATGGACTAATTCTTTCCAAAGAAAGTATTTCATTAAAATAATTTTTTTGCCTTGTAAAACTAGCTTGTATATCTTAACCTAAAAATATTCATTGTTTCTCATGATTCCTCAGCGATGATGCTTACGATAGAAATTTAATCGATAAACATATTCATTGTGCTGAAGAATATCTTTTTAAAAACCCTACTAAAACGTTAAATATGAAAAAAATTTAATATATACTTTAAAATGTAGAAATTGAGTAAATAATTTTTTTTAAAAAAACATTATCACAACTGACCAATAATAATGAACATAATAATAATATTACGACATTAATATTTAATTAAAATGCATAGACTTTTATAGTATATGTTTTTTGATTTTTAAACGGTAGAAATTTTCAATAAAATGTTTAAAGATGACCAATATGTATTTGTAGAAATTATTTAAATAAAGCAATGAAGGCATTATTTTGGGAAAATTTCTACAAATTTGTTTATTTTCTTTCTTTACATTAAGGATTCACTGTTTTTATTTTTTTTAATCGTACCAAATAAGAATGATGATAATTGCATAAATAATATTAGCATTGTAACCAGTCCCATAATTCATGCATTTTAACTCCATAAATTCAGCCTTAAATGTACGTTGAGTATTATACCTAAAAATGTAATTTCAGTGGGATGAATGGACATATTTTAACACGCGAAAAGATATATAATTATCGCTGACCATGTTCTTTTCTTCATTAATGATTCTCAGCAATCACAATTTTTTATTGTTCGAAGAAACAGGAAAAAGGATAATCTTTTCAAGTTATTTTTGATTTAGCGTAATATTCCCTCATCATTGTTCAGCATTGTTTAGCAGTACATCTGTGCATAATTTGTTACGTCTTTTTTTATTGCAACTTTTTACGAAAGTAGTAAGTTTTCTATGCACTGCTTTGATGATATCTTTATGCATATCATTTTGTACAAAATTTAAATAAAAAGTTTATATTGTAGTCAGATAGTTTTAAAAGGAAAAAAAATCTATTATCTTTTTATAGTGCAAATTTCATGGTCTAAAGAGGTAGTAATTTTTTAATTTATGAAGAAAAAAAACGTATCGCGTATACCAAGTTTTCCTGTTTAACTAAGGATTATTTTTTTTAAAAAAAAATTTTCAACCTTGCAACTTTTAAATTGAAGGAATACATTTATAGCTGTGTCAATAGTTTTTAACTTGATTGTTCTGTTGGGAATTTGTTCTGCTGGGATCGGTGTATTCGGGTAGGAGTGGTGGATTTGAAGGAGGGTTGA